AATAGCCAATAGCTTGCAAGATCATCAAAGCTTCTTGAAGCCTTTTTCCAGATCCACCTAAGGGATTTGGAGCCAGCTGCGGCCTTAAGTTCTCTGTAGGAAAAAAAGAAGAAAGGCAGCGGTCCGAGGCTTCTGGTGACCCCTTTAATAGTATGAGAAAGATTCGAGTCCCCGAGGCCTCGTAATCTTGCAAAAACAAGTGTCAACTCTCGAGCCTTGCCACACTACATTACCGCCAACCCTTGAAGCCTCTGCATGGTCCGAGGCTTCATTTCCCAGGGTTTGAAGCCGTTCGAGGCCGCCCGAGGCCTCATTTCCCAGGGTTTGAAGCCGTTCGAGGCCCATCCGAGGCCTTCCAGAACCTCAAAACCCCTTTAGCTTGCAAGATTACGAGGCCTCAGGGACTTGGGGCTTTATAATACTAATTGAGGAGTCCTCACCAGGCCTCGGGCCGCAACTGACCCTGCTTTCTCCCCCCTTTAGGATTTTAAGCCGCAGCTTGCTCGAGTGCCCGAGAAGCTATGCTCAGCTACTTCGCGTCCCCGGAAGTCAAACAAGAAGATGGTGGACCGCAAGCGGTGTGCTTTCGCACACCCAACCAGCACCGACCGACACATGATCGGCATTATTTACCAGAGGAGCTTTTGTTACTCCAAGACATGGTCACGAAGCTTCCGGTAGGGCCGGCTAGGCACTTTAAACTTTTAGGAAAGGGCCAAAACCGCGTCACCTACGAGCTTGATGGCCAAAGAGTTCTCAAGCTGGCAGACAGTCCTCACGGTAGTGAGGCCAGCATGTCACGCTCCTTTGGCACTGTTACAGCCATGGTTCACTGGGAAGGGATGCACAGGAGAAGGCTGAGTTCTTTTGGTACCTTGTCTCGGTTTTCACTTGGATCGAGGCGAGAGGAGTGGTCTTAAAGGACATAGGGCCATCCAATGTATCGGTGGCAAACCGTGTGCCGCCCTTACGAGTTAAGCTCTACGACCTCCAGGACTGGGAGTTTGGGCAGCACAGGCGTTCTCGAGGAGATGGAGGTTTCTTCCGACTCGTGGGTCAGTTCTCCTCTGAGGTCCTGGCGCAGCTCAAGACTGTTTGGGGCCCTCTCAGGCTGAACTACCCGGCCAGGTTCCTCAAATGTGCGGAAAAGGCTCCAAGCTATCACCCCTTGCTCCGGGAACAAAAGTGCATGTCGTCTAAAGGTACCCTCAGCACTTACTTCAACCAAGACTGAGGCACTGATGCAGTACTACAGTTTGCAGTTGGCCAGTTGGTCCCGTGAGTTTCTCCCCTAGTCCCAAGCGGAAGGAGGCGTGGCCTTCCCACCTGTTCAAGGCTTCCAAAACGGTGAGTTTTCTCCCTTAGTGGGTGAGTTTCTCCCCACTGGTCTTGGGTGGTCTCCAGAGGTGAGCACCTCCCTCTGTGTAGACCCCAGACCTCCCTTTTGGCGCCCGATCTGGTGAGTACCTCCCAGAAAGGTGTGCCCGTAGGTTTTCTGTTTCACCCCGACTACCCGTAGAGCACCGCTCCGGAAGGCCCAAATGGGCGCGTGACGCAAGTCCGCAGGGTCGAAGATATGAGATGCTCGGTAGGCTGGGCCATTGTGGTAGCCCGGCGTCACCACGACGAGCTATCTGTTCTCGGCACCATGACCGGGCTCTTGCCGGCACCGGCCACCGTGCCTGAAGGGGAGAGCGAGGCAATAGCCCAAGCTCTCCTTTCCTCACTCGGCACTTTTGATCTCACGTGCGACTGCCGCCCTGCTATCCGCAGCCTTCAAGGCCCCTTTACCAAGCGAACTCCGCTTGTATGGTCCAAGGCATGGGACCAAAGGCACAGGGTCGACCCTCACTGGGTCCGCTCTCACCAAAGCGAACCGGATTTTCGTCTTGAATTCGGGGCTGACTCGCTGTGGCGCCGTGAGCTTAACGTCCTCGCTGACAAGCTTGCAGGGGAAAGAGCAGAAGAGGTCCAAACTCCTCACCGCCTGGCCCAGAAAGAGGTAGACCGAGTCACCTCTCTTCTTTGCGAGTTTTTGGGTCGCCGCGCTTCCGCGCTTCTTGCTCAGGCTGAGAAGGAGGACTTCGTCCCGCGGAAAAACCGCCTTCAGTCCGCTCTGGGTCTGGACTCCTCTGCTTCCCCCTCGCCCAATAAGAGGCAGAGGTTGCAGGCCTTGCTCGACGAGCCTCCTCTTCCTGGCGGCCACGTCTGGTCTCGAACCTCCAAGGAAAAGAGCTTTAACTTAGTTGTTAAGTGCTCCGAGTGCGCGCTCTGTATTTATCAGTCGACCCTCCGGACACCTTTCGGCTGGGTGCCGCGCCAAAAAAGCTCGTTGCACCTTGCGCTAACCCCTCGGTTAGAGGTTTCTTTAAGCAGGCCCCCTTGGTCCCTGAGACCCAGGTCCCTGCTTCTGCTCCTGCCCAAGCTGTCCCTCCCCCGCCTAAGTCTTGGGGTTCACTTGCAGGTTCTGCTGGCCCCAAGCCAAAGCCTCCTCCTCCTGGCACTCCCCCTTTTGCAAAGTTTTTTGGCCGGTAGGCTCAAGCTGCCATGCCGCCTAAAAACAGGCATTACCAAGAGCAGCTCCGGTGTGTGGCACTCCGGCAGCAGCGCCAGCCACCCAGAAGGCTCAGCAGGCTGAGGCGAAGGCCAAAGTGGAGGCCTCGCCACCACCAAAGCCACCACCCCCTCGCCGCCAGGCTGAGGTTCCACCTTCAGATGCCGACAGGCTGGGTCCTCCGATGACCCTGCTCCTTGGTCACGACGGGTCATCACCCGTACCACGGCTTCCAAGTCTAAGGCGGCTTCCTCAGGCTCTGCTGGCCCTTCCTCGCCCTCTGTGGCTGAGGTTCCAACCGCAGTCGATGCCGAAAGGGAGGATTCCTCATCGTCATCCTCTTCCTCCTCGCGTCGCGGGCAATGGAAGTTGAGGAAAGGCCGGCCCGGGTGCCTAAGACCCCCCGACACCTACCCCAGGTCCTCTTCCATCATCAGGGGGACAAACATGCGGAGAAGACGAAGAGGCGCCCAACACAGAACGTCCCGCCCGGACTTGGGACCGGGCGCAGCAGTACGCAGAGAAGGGAAGTGGTGTTCTGAGGATTCACAAGGGTTCTGAGGATTGTGCCGGCGGCGGTGACGCTGAGGACAGCGAGCACATCGTAACCTGGCGAGGAGGCGGGACCACAGTCCAGGTAGGCGAGTGGTCCGACAGCGACGATGCCTGGTACAGGTCCTGGGTCGGGAGACCGAGCGTAGGCGAGCACATCTGAGGTGGAGACCATCCAAAGTGCGACAGCCTTCAGAGCTCACGCATAGATAGTGCAGGGCGCAAACCGGCTGGTTGCAGGGGTGCACCCATGGGTGCAGCACGGGCAAGCTTATGATTCCACACAGGACATAGCCAGGGTATGATCTACAGTCTACAGAAGGTGCAGCCTCCGGCAACCAAAATGTGGCAACATTGTGTTCCACGATGCTGCACGAACGGCCACTGACAAGCGGGGCAGACTGACAAGTAGAATGAGAAATCTCATGCGCCAGGGCCGCGACGGTTGTGCGGACTTCTGCTTCTCTGTAATCGAGCTCTGAGTGTGTGAAGAATCTCGCTAGCCTCTTGATGGACACGCTCGGACCGTTGGAGGCTGGCGTAGCAGTTCTCGATCGTTCGTTGCAGTATCTCCAGGGATGCTCTATCATAGTGCTGCGTTGTCGTGGTCGTGGAGGGCGGCACCGAAGGTCGAGCGGCTTGCTGGGGGTTGCTCTGAGAGCTGAAGAGGAGAAGCAGTTCCTGATCCGGAGCAGAGCAATCCGCGCCGGTACGCGAGCCTGTCTGCAGATCATCATTCTGGATTGCAGCCGCGGAAGTGGCCAATGTGATCTGTTGAGGTCGAGGCCGTCGTTCCACTCCCGGTGGTGGTGAGGCCGGTTTCGAGGCATCCGGCGTAGCCGGGGCAGGCATGGGTCCAGATGTAGCTGTAGCAGACTGCCCTGTGAAAGCCATCGGGGAGTGGAGGAGTCGCAGGAGCAAGGCAGGCGGCACTGAGTAAAGAAGCTGCATATGCAATGTGTCCACCAGAGGGGCGCGGACAGGTGCAGTTGCCAAGTGCTACAGAAATTGAGAAGGCAGCAGGCCGAGCGCCAGACAGTGTGAAATCTGACGGTCGGTGAGGCAGTAACCTGAGTATTGCACAGAGAGGCGAGCACAACAGCTTGAGGCAAAGAAGCAAGAAGCGATGGCCCTTGCAATGCAGCAGTATATGCATCCACTCGCTCGGTGTCCAGGCTTTGCCCTGTGCTCGCATCAGTTTCCGGCTGTACAAACCATATGCTGCGAGTCTGTGGCCTAAGTGCTGGGTCTGGAACGTGGTCCGGGTCGTGAACCGATGCTTCCAGTCGCCGAGCCGTTGATCGGGAAGAGCTCGATGCAGCTTTGCCAGGGGCCCGCTTGCTCGATCTTGGCCTGGAGTGAGTCTGCTTGTGCTTGGCCTTGGTCCTGGTGCGGTGGCCCTGTAGTGAGCCAGAGGGTCGCTCAGGAGCTGGGCCAGCGGTCGGAGGGTCCTGAAGTATCATCCGTGCTGGGCCTGAGGGTTGTATGCAACGTCCCAGTGGCATCGACCGGAATCGGTGTAAACGTCATCGGTGGCACCAGTGGGAACAGTCGCTGGTGCCTCCACATCGATGAGGCCTTCAGGCTGGTTCCGTAGCTTGCGCCGAGCTCTACGAGCACATTGCAGGTGAATATCCCCAGCATGGATTTCCAAAGTACTCTCCTCAGCTTTGCGCGGCAATGCATGTCCCTGAGCCGAGGGTTGGAGGCACTGGCAGTCGCCATCCTCCTGAAGCCGTCCAACAAGGGCGACATCCCTACCCTCCTCCGGCAAAGCCATGCGACTCCCCTAGTCGCTTCTATCCCCCGTCTTTCTCGACCCTCCTTTACCTCTTCCATTCGGAAACGTGCTCTCCAAAGGGCCCTCTCGAGGGCAGATCGGTGCGGCAGTGCCATGTATCGTGGTCATCGTATTGCCGGAGGATGTGCTTCTCCACTGAGGCCCATTCGTCCTCCACGAGACCAGTCCACCTCTGCTCACCGCAGGCCTCCCAGACTGCATTTTATGAGCTGGAACGCTAGTGGGCTCTCGAGTGAGCGCTATCAGCAGGTTGCCCTGTGGCTGCGCACCCACGGCCAGCACTTGGCCATCACGGTGATTTAGGAGACACACTGGGCATCTGACTTGACCTTCAAAATGGAAGGCTGGCAAGCTCTTGCTTCGCCTAGTCAGGACCGTGTCTCGGGCATCTTAGTGCTAGTGAACCTCCGGTTCTTCCAGCGCGACCAGATCCAGCTCACCTCTGTCATCGAAGGCAGGCTGGTTCACCTGCGCCTAGAATGGCCTAGAAGGCAATCCCTCCTTGGATGTGGTCATTGTGTATCAACACCTCTACTCCAGTTCCAAAGCGCTCCCTGGTGCTGCGGGCCTGGAGCAGGCCCTGCTCAGGCGCTCTTCTCTCTGGACCAAACTGCACCAAACCCTTGCCAGGTTCCCGAGTCGGAACTCCGTGCTGGTGTTAGGGGACATGAACATTGATCTTTTTCCTGACCCACCACATGTTGGTCAGGGTATACGCACCCGCCTCAGCCGTATCCCCCCGGATCAACAGGAATTTCAGCAGCTGATACGTACCTTCTCACTTCAGGCCCTCAATACTTTTGGCCGAGCAGGGACCCCTGCTCAAACTTTCCTGCCGACTACCGGCGGCAGAGGCACGCAAATCGATTTTGCGCTCACGCGCCAGACCACTGCTGATGGCATTGCCAGGCGCACCTGTCCGGTCTGGCTTCCGTTCATTGAATCTACTGGGCTCCGGCACTTGCCCTTGCTGGGCTCCATTCTCAGGCCTGCACGCCCCCCACCGCCCCATCACTTTAGCCTCCGTAAGGACGGCCCTTCGCATGGACCCTACCCTTGCCGCCCGATTTCAGGCACAGGCACAGCTCTCTTTAGCACGTGCACAGCCAGATGACGTGTCCGATTGCCTTCTGCAGGCCTGGACCCTCACTGCACCCTGCCCGACTACGATCACTCCAACCCACAGTCCGAAAACTCAGCTGATTCTCCACCTTTGGCACTTGCGTCGTGAACGACGGTGTTTCGTGCAGCGACAGGATCCCTCTGCCTCTCGGGCTTGGTCTAGGGAGGCCGAGTTGAAAGAGGCTGCCAAGAGTCTCAAACTGCTCTGCGCTCAGAATAGGCAACTTCGCATTCAGCAGATCTTGCAGGAAGCGGAGCAGGCTGCTCATAAAGGGCTTACGGCTGTCTACCAGGTGGTGAAGCGTCTTGCTCCCAAAACGACACCCAAGCCTATCCTCTTCCGGGATCCGCAGGGAACTCCCCTCACCACGGCTCAGGAAGCGCAGACCTTGAAGGACTACTTCTGCCGCCTCTACCGCTCCTCCTTGCCGGAGCCTCATCCACCGGGCCACTCTTTTACCCCGTTTGATGTGGAGGAGCTTACTGGTGTCATTGCGCAACTTCCCTCTGGCAAAGCTAAACCCTCCTGGCTTGCCCCTGCCCCGCTTTGGTCTCTTGCTGCTGCCCATGTTGCTGATGTTATTCACCCGGCCCTGACCCAATGGCTCACTCATATGACGGACCCCATGCCGGGGCAGTGGCCAAAATCTTCGCTGTGCCTTCTGGCCAAACCGTCGAAGCCTCCGAAATGTCCTGAGAACCTCAGGCCTATCGCTCTTCTTCATCCGGTTTCTAAATGTTTGGCGAAACTGGCGGCTGGTCTTCTGCGCCCGACTGTGCAGCATCTTGCCACGCGTTTCCCCCAGTTCGCTTATATAGGGGGCCGATCTGTGGAAGACTCTATCGAACGCGCATGTTCCCATTGCGCAGCTGTACGCACGACTCTTGAAGCGCAAAAGTACAACATTCACCTTCGTCGTCAAGGACATGTTACGGGAAAATGTAAAGGAGGGATCACCCTCTCCTTAGATCTTTCCCGGGCGTTTGATTGCTTGCCGCGAGAGATCCTGCACAAAGCTCTTGTTTTTGCGGCTGTGGAACCCACACTCATCGACCATCCACCGTCAATCCACTCTCAATATCACGCACAAATCGCACTCCGTTGCTGTCGAGCTCCACTCGGGGGTGCGTCAAGGTTGCAGCCTATCTCCAGCACTGTGGAGTATCTTCATCTGCTATGTCCTCCATCTTTTAAGTGCGAAAATTCCTCTCTCCTGTCTTACAGCGTTCTCAGATGACATCCTTGCACAATGGGAGGTCCATGAGCCTGAAGACATTCTTCGCATTTTACAGGACATCGCTTTCATCATTGACACTCTGACCTCCCTTGGCATGTCAGTGAGTGACTCCAAAACAGTGATCCTCGATGGCCTCCGAGGTCCCGCCAAGTCCAGACTTCTACGCCCTCTTCTGCAGCACCATAAGGACAAGGGCCCCTGTCTTCGAGTGATGTGTGCCACTGGGCCATTAGATCTGCCCTTTCGCAAGCAGCATCCCTACCTGGGTATTGTGCTTAGCTACGACTGTTTCGAGAAGCTCTCCCTTCAAATCAGGATCAAGCAAAGTTGGGCCAACTTCAGTCGCCTCTTCTCCCTGCTCAGATCCAAGCACATCCTACCCATTCAGCGCTTGCAGCTCTGGACTGCTTGTGTGTTCTCCACGCTGAGATACGGCCTTACCAGTACTGGCTTGCCTCCTCGAGGCCCTGATCTCATTCGCCAAGTAGTGGCCAAGCAGGTCCGCCTTGTCCTCAAATCCCCAAGCTGGATCACTCATGAAACCACAGCTGATCTGTATACCAGGCTCCGCTTCCAGGACCCCATTGTCCAGCTGTCCAATCAGTTGCAATCGCGTCAGACTCGTCCCTCCCTCAGCGTAGAGGCCTTCGATACCCCTGAACGTCTGCGGTGGAGGGCTGCTCTCCCTGCGTCCTTTGTGTCTGACACGTCTGCCCATCTGTCTCCTACCACGCAGCCTGTGCAAGGGACCTCTCGCTGCAGCCTTATGGATGTTTCGGGCATCGTTACGCGTACCTATGCATGCCCACACTGCCCGCAAACCTTTCCCACTTTGATTGCCCTTCGCACCCACTGCACCAAATCACATGGGCCATCATCAGACCAAGTTGTCGCACCTCCTGCTGAGCCTGATGTTCCACACGGCTCGACCAAGACCATGCCACCTCCTGGCAATGCGGCCGCCACCTTGATTCCTTCCACTAGTGAGGGTGTTTCTCACCTTCGACCTCCTTCGCAACAACAGCTACGTGCACGGTTCATGCATTTTGCTAAGGATGGTATGCCCCACTGCACCCTGTGCAACAGGAAGTTTGCTGCTTGGCCACCCTTTCTCAACCATCACTACACCAACTCCTGCCCGGCTCAGGTTCACGACGAGTCCCTGATCAAGAACCCTGCTGCGCCTGCCGCCTCCTCTTCTGTCTCGGCCGCAGATCCTGCTTCCAGTGTCGACCACTCCGAGCTTCCTGCCGCCCCACCTACACAGGCTGATGCCTCCTCGCCCACGGTCACTCCCTCGGATGCACTGCCGCTCCTTCAACGCCCTGCCATTCGTGATTTAGCTCTTCAGGACGACTGGCAGCTCCTGGCTCGCCAACTTCGCTCCATGCACACCGGCCAAGGGTTGAAACACTGCCCTGTTTGTCATCAGTGGTTCACTCGCACGCAGGACATCTTCCGTCATCTGAAGCGTCAGCACCCGCTTCCCGCGATTCTTGAATCCCTGCGAGCTGACTGGCTCACAGCGCGTACAGCAGCAGCCCGCTCCCCCTGTAGCTGGTGCAGGCTCACGGTCTCCTTCAAGACCCAACACGTTGCCGCGTGCCCTGTTCTGCAGCAAACTATCACCCTTCGCCTTCTCGTCCGGCATGAGCTTGGCCTCTGCACAGGCTCTGGGCAGCGGCCTCTCTCTTCAAGAGGCACAGAGACAGGAGGTTCAGGCAGAGCTGCAGCTCCTCCAGTGTTGGGGCGAGGGAGCCATGGAGCTGGATGTGGCGAACAAACGTCGCGAGATGGAGGATGCGGAAGACCAAGAGAAGGAGCGGGACACGAAATGGGCCAGACCGGAATCCAAGGGTGGTTCGGCCGGGGCGGGCGAGGAAAGGGCAATCAGCTGGGCCAGTCCAAGAACCAAGGCCCTCGCAGACAGCCGATTCGCCGATCGACAGAGGCGGACACCAGAGCCCCGGAGGGAATGATGTGGTTGCTGGGCAAGCTTCTTCTACGCCACGAGGACCAAATGGGTATAGACAGGACTCAGAACGGCTTTGTCATGTTCTTCAAGAGGGAGAGTGCTCTCTCTCTCTGGTTCCTCGTTTCGTGCAGAAATCTCAGCACTGGCACGCCCTGAAAGAGCAGAAGCAGGAGAAGATGGACGAGATTGCTATGCCTCTGAGGTCCTTCCTAATGCACACCATGCTGGAGACCCTCGTGACGAGAATCAAGGACACCGTGAAGAGCGAGGAGCAGCTGAAGACCGCCACCACCCTACAGGTGTTCTTGCCGAAGGAGGGCGATCTGGAGCTTCGCATACCATTCTTGAGCTACAATCCAGAGACCAAGGCTCTGGTGCTCCTCCCAGAAGGTGCCTGAGGCCCTCTGGCTGGAAGTTGAGGTTCGCCGCCAAGGTGAGGGATCCTGGCACAGGATCACTCTGCACCCCTTGGCATCCCTTCAGTTCCTTTTGGCCGAGGTTGAGAAGTGTGCCCAGGTTCGCTGCCGTTCTGCCCGTGTGTGGCCCGAAGGCCCCTTCCTGGGCAACTGCCGCTCGATAGGGAGCCAGTTGCCTCAGGGCACACGGTGGCTCCTGGTTGATGGCTTGGAGCTGGGAGAGCACCATGACCCGGTCCTTTTAGTGCCGCCCTCGCCGGTTTCCCTCGTGCGGGGCTGAGGTTTCGCAACCACTCACTGCACCGACTCCCTCTCCGGATGAGGTTCCACACCCCTGTGCAGCCTCACCGGCCCTTCGCACTCCCCCTCAGCCTTCCACTCCTGTGGGGCCCCCGGTCAGTTTTCACCCTCGCAATCGAGGGCCGGCTCGTGAGAGCCGATTTGCTTCGGCTCCGGCCTTCCCCTGGAGACCCCCACGGAGTCGGGCCCCTCCCCTGTGGTTCTGCCTGAGGGAGCAAGCGGTCCACCCCAGCCGATGCCGGTTTCCGTATCCGGCAACCCTGAGCCCTGAGCCAGCCTCGGCATCCTCCGTGCTTCAGGCACCCCTTGCCACCCTGGCCGAAGGGCCGGAGTTGAGCCCTACTCCTGCCAACCCTTCTGGGCCCTCCGAGGACGAGGCAACCGAGCCGCCCTCTCCGCCCCCTCACCGTCAGGTTCGAGGTTCGGCTGCACCGAAGTCTCCTCCCCACGTGCAGGTCATCTCAGACAACTTCCTGAGGTGTTTTGCTTGTTCTGTGGCTTGTGCCAACCAGCAGCTCATGGAAGGTCACATCATGACCTCTCGTCATGTTCGCCTTACCACCCAGTACATCGCCCGGCGACGTCGTGAAATGGAAGATGAGCTGGCAGAGGAGGCCTCGCAGGCTCTGGATCGCCTTTCGAGGTCCTGAGCCAACACCTTGCCCAGGCTCCTCACCTTCGGGTTTGAGGCTCCTCGCCCTCGTGGCTGAGGTTGACTCCCTGAGGCTGTTCAGCCTGGGCCGGTAGCAGTTGGGTAGGGCCTCCCCTCGTCCAAAGAGATTGAGGTCTTGGCGGGCGTAGCTAGCCAACTCTCTCTAGGTCGTAGGGCCGGCCCTCGCCCAAAGAGGCTGAGGTTTCTCACCAGAATGCATGCTGAATTCATCCGCGAAACCGCGTCTCGGACGGCTCTCAGCTTGGCGCAAGAAGATATGAGATTGGCTCAAGCTGTGACTGCTCAAGCCCTGGTTTACAGGTGGGCTGGCCAGGTAGCGGTGTGTAGCTGTCTAACAGGTCCTGGAACTCCAACGTCTCTTTTGGGGGAACAGGTGCTTCGGAATCCCAGCTTTAGACAGACCTGAGCCATAGCCGCGGCAGTCCTGTGGGCGTGCTTCAAGGGTTAAGTTTCTTCCCTTTGCCTGCTGCTTGCAGGTGTGCACTCAGGGGTGAGCTTCTCCTCCTGTTAAGCCTACCACAGCTTGATGGCCTTCACGAACTGTGTGGTTTTCTCTTGGCACCACCAATGTCGAGTGGAAGGCCTCTTCTTGGAGCTGTCTGCTAGCCACAACATTCACTTCCTGCGTACTACAAGGGGTGGTCACGTAGCGTGGGGTTTGGTGGGCACCTGGCATGTTTTTTCAACGCCTCAAGGCCCGCGCCTCTGCCTACGCAGCTTCAGCTGTTGCCTTGGTGCTCGCTTGAGAGATCTGACCTTTGATGTCGATCCGAGCGACCCAAGAAGGATGATCGACGGCACAGGGCGCTTCCTGTACTACAAAGGGATCCTGCGAATGCATGACACTTGGCCCAACCCACACCGCCGCCTTCAAGCCATCACAGAAGAGGAAGATGAATGGATTGTGCTCTAAAGGTGAGTTTTCTCCCTCTAGGAATTGTAGGGTCCTGAGCTTCTCGGACCTAGCGTGTCTTAGGGAGGTTCTCCCTTTGGAAGTGAAGGGTTCAGGTAGCTTCTTCCTGCCCGCTGCTTGCCTTCCTTGTTCTGTGTCAGGTTTCTCTCTCTTCCTGGCACCGAGGTTTAGGCGCAGTTTTCCGAATAGGCGCGTCCTGATTGCGCCCAGAATTGGGTACATTTTGGTACCCCGGGCATCGGCTTTGTACTTGTGCCCCTGTATGGGACCTTCGCTGGCATAAGGATGTGAGTAAGCGCGAGAAAGCATGCCTGAAGGTTGTTCATCACGTGTGCCGGGTGGCAGTGTCCCTGCTCATCGGGAGTCGTTTGTCCTGACCACCGTGTCAGTGAGGTCTCTGTGCAGAGGGGACCAGCGCAAAAGCCTTGGCCTGTAAAAAGTAACCTGGCCAGAAAGAAAGGTGGTGAGCTACCTCCCACCCTTACCTTCGCCAGTCTGTCACAGTTAAGCGGTGAGCTTCTCCCGTGAAAACTGAACCACTCAAAGGCAGCAAGGAAAAATTTTGGGACTACAACCCCTGGCAAAAGAAAACGTGAAGCCAAGACAGAGAAGCCACAGAGGGTTTAGAGACTGCTGCTTGAGTCCAAGGAATCGGTGAGGTTGACTACGTCTGCTGTTGGTGTTGAAGGTTCCAGCTGGAGAGTTTCGCCCAGGGCTTGGACACCTCCCCGGCCTTATCAGCGCATAGTGCTCTCACGCTTTTGTCCTTCAGTTGAGTCTTCTCCTCTTGGAAAATTTTTGGAGGGCCGTTAGGGCAGGCAAGGCCTTGTGGGGCCAGTCAGTAAGAGCGAGAAAGCTGGTCGGGCCTGCGAGGTAAGTAAGAGAGTGAACACCTCTTCTGGTGGTGCTAACGGTGTCCAGCGCTGGTGCCGGCATGGGCATTGGGAGGCAGATGAGTAAGTGCGAGAAAACTCTGCCTCTGCACTCCTGGACGGGTGCTGTGAGGCCTGTGTGTGCCCTTTTGGGCTTCCTCCGAAGTTTTGGAGCCCTCTGCCTTGTATAGGAAATTTGGCGCCCACGTTGCCAAAAGGTGGCCCGCAGTCCCAAGAGGCACCTCGGCAATTAGGGCTTAGAGGGAGGAACTGTTGGACTGTTGCTGCTTGGGTGAGTTCCCCGCCCCTGCAGGCATGTCTGGCCGCTTCTGCACTAGCACCCTGGGTGAGCTACTCCTCAGGAGGTTGTTAGTGTCTCACAGAATCGCCCCGGGTGAGCTTCTCCCTGGTGGTGTTCTTGTACAGGCACCTTCTTTCTAGTTTTGTTTCACCCCGACCCCCCCGTTGAGCTCTGCTCCGGAAGGCCCAATTGTGGCGCGTGACTCAGTCCGCTCGGTTAGAAGATATGAGATCCCTGAAGGCTCATCTTTGTCTGTCCGAGTGTTTTTGTTCAAGGAAGCAACAACCAAGACCACTTGAAACGACTTTTGAGTCTTTTGTGAACGCTTGGTAGTTTTGCTGCATGTTTCACTGCATGGCATGTTTTTCATGTTTTGGCACGTTGTTTTGGCATGGTAGGACCAGTTGTGACTGCGTGAAGCTGCCGTTTACTCACTTCGTGCTTGCCGCACTCCGTTCGTTCCGGATGGGAGTAGTGATGAGCTCGGAAGAGGTCTTAGAGGCTGTTTGAGACTGCCTCTGTGACGCAAGGGAGCTAAGGAAGCTTAACTCAGTGTTTGAAGGGTCCACACCTGTCAGCGCAAGCTTTTGCAGAGTTCTCCACTGTTTAGCAGTGTTGTAGAAAGCTTTTGCAGAGTTCTCCACTGTTTAGCAGTGTTGTAGAATGGAATTAGTCCAGCTTGCTGTACGCAGCCTGCCTTTGAGACCTGAAGCGATTCCGCTTTGGCTCAAGGTCTGCGACGACGGTGATGCTCTTGCATTCGCAAGGAGCTGAACCAGAGAAGTCGCTCTGACTCAAGAAGAGAAAAAGAGACCACTGCGCGAGCTCTGCTTTTCGCACCTTCCGCATGTGGATCCAAACAACTTCGCATACCCGCCGGTCCAGGGGCGGTTCGCATCTGCCAAGCGGATCAGCATGTGCTATCCCGCGCGCTTCTTCTTGAGGGCCGCATACCCTGGAGGGACGCTTCGCAGAGATTGTTCGAAGGACTGCGATATCCCTTTGGGCTGCCGGCTCGTACCCAAATACCACAAGCCCTCAAACACGTATTTTACCAGGGCACAGCTGGATACACCACGAACTTGGCGATTGATGAGCTGTGTCTAGTAGGGAAGGTGGCAGCTCGGAGATCGTCATTGTCCTTGCGAGCTTTGCATAGCCGCAGTGTACGGCCTGCACTCTACTGCTTGGGCCCATTCACATCCTCGCTGCCGCGTCGGTCCTTATAGCACAGGGCACAGGTTAGGTGACAAGCCATGGCCACAATTCCGGAGTGCTCTTTGGGGCCCCACCATCGGCTGCCACTCGGCAGTTGCTTTGCGCCATTGGTACGCAGAATTTCTAATTGATCGCACGACTTGGCTTTCAAGTGCGCGCCACCATTGTCCAAATCGATATTGAGGCTTTAGTGGTGCTGGCTTCGGCGTCGCGCCTTGTTTATCGGACAGTCGGGCTCGACTTCTTTCGCGCTGAGGCCACTTAGTCGGCACTAATTGATTGACATGCAGCCCTGGGCTGATGGCCTGGCTTAATTTTCCATGGAGCCGTTGGACGAGCTCCCACTTACGCGCCTGCGATCTCCGCTGCCGATCTGCGTCCCACTCCGATTAGCCCTTGCCCTTGCGAGGCCCACCATGGTGGGAAGCTGGGCATGGGCAATTTTGCGCAGGTCGGGGCAAACTCGCCCTTTTCATAGGGGGGGGGCTCGGTGTGCTCCCCCCTGTTGTTTCTTCTGCCCGAGACCCACGTGAGGGAAGCTGGGCCAGGTACGCGTGGTGCCATGACGCGGCTGGTTGGCCAGCACAGCATGTACCATGCTGCTTTGTTTGCTGCATTGTGCCGATATCTGTGCACCTGCCCTTGCGAGGCCCACCTTGGTGGGAAGCTGGGCTTGTGTTGGAGTGCTTGTGCCTGCCGCTATGGCATGCTCCGGCCTCGGCTGTGTACTGGGCGCGTGTTTTGGCATGCGAGCTCTCCTTGGGAAGCTAAGCCAAGAGCACCAAACGGACTGGAAGTGTATGTCCCGGTGCTTGCACGCGGCCGATGGTATAGCATGGCGTGTACAATGCTGCCTGGCTTGCTCCATTTTAATGAAATTGTGCGTCTGCCCTTGCGAGACCCACCTTGTTGGGAAGCTGGGCCTGAATTAATTTTCTAAAGCACCTGCCAGTGGGGCATGCTCTTGCTTCTCTATGGATGCTTGGACGCGTTTTGCTACGCCATGGCCCCTCTGTCTTGCCATTGCTTGCCCCCTCTGGGGACGGGCCGTACACAGTGAACAGGAGGGCTGTCTTATGCTGCACGCCCCCATTCCATGGGGGTCCATGTTTGCCCCTGCGCAACTCAGTGTGACTGGGAAGCGGGGCATCTGAGCGGTGTAGGTGCTAGCTTTGCGCATGTCTTGCCGAACGACGTCTGCCTGCCGGCTAAGTCTGCTAGTCGCGGCCTGTCTCACCTTGTTATTATCATTTTTTGTACAGTTGATTTTGTTCTTGGCTTTCTTGTAGTTCTTGCTAGGACCGAGTGCAGCAACTTGCTGTCGTTGAGGCCCGCCCACGCCAAAAAAATGTACAAAGGCTGCTGTGGCGACTGACATTGTGCATAGTCTTGTTTGAGCAGAACTTAATGTGATTTTGTGAAGGTGCTAATCTTGAAATCATTGACCAGCTTCCAACGGTGTAGCAGCAGCTGCGGGTCCGAGTGAGTAGGCTACGAGCCGCTCGATGCAATTAGGCATCGCAATACCGTGTCTGTGGATTCCTTAGGAATGCCAGTGTATCTTGATGGGGCAGCTTCGAGTTGCATGTGACCCACTCGAATAATCCTTGTGATTCTTGAATGTGCATCAACACCAGCGCAAAACTTGATCCTTGGAATCATCGCTTCCGCTT